TTTTTTCACAAAGACTCACCCCGTTGCCTCCCTCACGAACGCTCATGTAGGACTCAGGCAGAACAAAGCCAACCGTAGGGTTTATTTCCCCATATTTCTAGAGTGGCCTTTCTGGGAAAGCAACGTCTCGCCAGCGTGCACTTTCAAACAAGTTTTTTTATTGTGGTTTAGGTGAATCTGTACAGAACAAATCAGTTTCTCATTCAACCATTTGTACACAAATTGTTTTGTGACATTGGTTGCAATCCCCACAATGTGTCAGCGCTCTCCTCCTTTCCCTTTCCACTCCGGGTTCCCCGTGTCCATTCGTCCAGGTTTCCTGTCCCTTCCTGCCTGCTCATCTTTGCTTTTGGGCAGGAGTTGCCCATTTGGTCTCATGTACGTGATTGAACTAAGAAGCACATTCCTCACGTGTGTTATTGTTTGTTTTCTAGATCTGTCTAATCCTTGTCTGAAGGGTGAACTTTGGGAGTGGCTTCAGTTCTGGGTTAAAAGGGTGTCTGGGGGCCATCGTCTCGGAGGTGCTTCCAGCAGGGTGCACTTTGATAACTAAAAACCCGGTCACTTCTAGCTGGTCCAGTTTTGCCACTGTCCCAGTCTCTGACCATTTCTGGCCCCGTCCCACGTTTGTCGGAAGTTACTCAATAGATGCCCCTGTTACTACATGTTTATTATGAAACAAAGCGCTCACCCACAAAAGCTGTTCATCTACGATCACACACGTACATTTCCTTGTGCAGCCAGATTTTCCCCTTGGTTTCTGTGTGTTGCTGCTGAACCCATTAACCCAAGAGTTTGCCAACTTCTCTCCTCCCTCTGCCAGTCTATGCTCAGCCAGCACCTTCCAGCCTTACGTTTTTCAAGGATGGGTGGTGACTTGTGACCCACTGGTGGTGATGAAATTGATTTAGTGGATTGGGAACGGTGTTTTAAGAAAAAAATAGAAGAGGAAATACTGACAGTGTGTTTCGTGCTCTGGGACATAGTCAAACGTGTCTGAAAGCACTGCTCTGGCCTACACAGGTGAGAGAAATGTTAGCACTAGTTTTTCTCTTGTCTTCACAAGATTACAGGAGGGGGGTTTTGGCACTCCTGGTCCGTGTGGGTCCATGTCAGGTTGTAGAAAATGGTCAGTTCTCTTTTAAAATATCCCCAGCAGCAGTGTGAGCAGTGGACGTAACCGTTCCTTTAACTGTACCTGCTCCCAGTATACCTGGAGCAAACACACAAATACTACTTCTCAAGAACAGCTGAACCCTGGGCTCCTCATTATGGAGAGTATTATCCCTTTCTGTGTTTATTTCCCCATATCCTCTCTAAGTCATCAGTAAAATCTTACTTAAATGTCCCAGTCTTGTCTCAGATGTGCTTCAGGGGACCCTTATAGGGACAAGAGCTGGGGACTTTGATGTCCAGCTGTCCATCCCCACGAGGAAGTTCTCCCTCTACTGCCCAACTTGGAGGAACGAGGTTTCGTTTCATTAAGGAAGGGGGAAGGTTATCTTACACACAGACGGCAACATCCTTCATCCCTCCACCCAGCTCTAACCTTCCTAAAGAATTTGTAGCCTGGAAGTCCTATATCCTGTTTTGCTCTTCTTTCTCCAGACCTCAGAAATGAGAAGAATTTGGGGATTCTCTGGTGCTGGGGTAGCTAGAGCTAAAACAGGGAGAGCTGAGAGGTTTCTACCTTTGGGGATCCCAAGGGGGACAGCAGATTAGAATCCCAGGCAGATGACCAGAGATGGGGCAGGCATGCGTTTCAAGGTAGCCTGCTGCAGCAGGAATCAATAACAAAGCAGACATCTGAGCCAGCAAGAACAGAAGGGAAATCCCCAGGTGCCAGAAACAAACTGGGAAGTGAAAACCAGAGCTGTTGGTAAGTATGCAGGCTGATGCCGGGTGGCTTGGTCCCCAGCACCATACAGCAGCAGAAAATGAGGCCATGGGCCCATGGGAGGCAGGGAGCAGAGGGCTATATGGGACGATATGAGATCCTAGGCAAGGGCTGTATCCCCAGGAACAAGGAGGCTGGTCCACAGGATGCCATACGCCAGCAGAGAGCACGAGGAGCAGAGGAGAAGCTAAGTTGCCCGGGCACCAGATGCCCACCAGACCCAGCAGGGAAACCAGAGGGCTCAGCTGTGATTTTAAGGTCAAACCCCCGCCTTGACTCACAGCTGTCAGATCTGTGGCCCAAGACTAACTCCAGAACACCCCACAACGGTGGTTGGGGCTATGCCTTCCAGGGTTTTCCACCAAAGACACCCTAAGGCTGAGCAGCAAGAACATCTATTACTGGGAAATAGTCTAAAGCTGCTCATGGAACCTCAAGGTTCTTTAAAGCCTCAAGTTGGAGCTTTGCACGGTGATCCGAAACAAACTGAACTGATGAGCAGCTTTCCAGGGGTCAAGTACTACAGCCCTTGGCCTTGGGTCCCCAGGTACACCTACCCCAGCCTGAGAAGCACAGATCCGTCGAGCTTCAGAGGCAACACAGCGACGCTGGCAGAGGCAGGGCTGAGAGGTCTTCTTGAAGAAGGGGTGAGGAAAGGCAGGATGGGGTCTCCGAATTTGCAAATGGACTAGTAAAAGCTTGCTCAGAGAGGTAATGTGGCTTTAGGAGGGAAAAGCTGTCTGTCTGCCCATCTATAAACCAAACCTGAGAAATCTTACCCTATGAATTCATTTAAATGCTCTTGAACCAACTGAAATGTTTAAATTTCCACCTCGAGTTAATTTCTATTCAGATTCAGATACCACTTATATCCACCAAAACAAGCATAAGAAAATCGCCTAATGAATATATACAACATTCCATACAAATTTTATTGAATAAATAAAAACTTTATTTGTGTATTTTTCAAATAAACAATATCCTTAGTTTGATCACTTAAAAAAAAATACAACCTCATGTAACCAAGTGTTAACTAAGCATTAACCAAGTGTTAACTAAGCACTAACCAAGTGTTAACTAAGTACTAACCAAGTGTTGACTAAGCACTAACCAAGTGTTGACTAAGCACTAACCAAGTGTTAACTAAGCACTAACCAAGTGTTGACTAAGCACTAACCAAGTGTTGACTATTTATACCTGTACAGAGGAGAATCTGATCTGTCAAAATTGGTTTGGTAGTAGCCATATTTGAGATATTTGTGGATTTCCTTGAAGGCTGACTTTTCAAATTATGAGATCTAATACATCCCCCAGAACCGATATTAAAGTACAAAAGGATCTTGCAAACCCAAGTTAGGACTTTATGTAAGAAATTCTACTGGTGTTTTGTTTCAGTTCCGATTCACAGTGACCCCGTGCACAACAGAACAAAACACTGCCCGGTCCTGCACCCTCCTCACAATTGTTGCTACGTTTGAGCCCACCGTTGCAGCCACTGTGTCAGTCCATCCCATTGAGGCTCTTCCTCTTTTTCGATGACCCTCTATTTTACCAAGCATGATGTCCTTCTCCAGGACTGATTGCTCCAGATAACGTGTCCAAAGTAGGTAAGACGCCATTCTCACTTCAAAGGAACATTCTGACTGTACTTCTTCCAAGACAGATTTGTTCATTCTTCTGGCAGTCCATGGTATACTCAATATTCTTCACCAACACCATAATCCAAAGGCATTGATTCTTCTGCGGTCTTCCTTATTCATTGTCCAGCTTTTGCGTGCATATGAGGCAATTGAAAATACCGTGGCTTGGGTCAGGTGCACCTTAGTCCTCAAAGTGACATCTTTGCTTTTGAATACTTTAAAGAGGTCTTTTGCAGCAGATTTGCCTAATGTAATACATCATTTGATTTCTTGACTGCTGCTTCCATGGGCATTGTTTGTGGATCCAAGGAAAATGAAATCCTTGACAATTTCAATCTTTTCTGCGTGTATCATGATGTTGCTTACTGGTCCAGTTGTGAGGATTTTTGTTTTCTTTATGTTGAGGTGTAATCCATACTGAAGCCCGTAGTCTGTGATCTTCATCAGTAAGTGCTTCAGGTCCACTTTGCTTTCCACAAGCAAGGTTGTGTCATCTGCATGTCATAGGTTGTCAATGAGTCTTCCTCCAATCCTGATGCTGCGTTCTTCAGATAGTCCACCTTCTCCGATTATTTGCTCAGCATACAGGTTGAGTAAGTATGGTGAAAGGATACAACCCTGACGCACACCTCTCCTGATTTTAAACCATGCAGTATCCCCTTGTTCTGTCCGAACGACTGTCTCTTGGTCTACGTACAGTTTCCTCATGAGCACAATTAAGTGTTCTGGAATTCCCATTCTTCACAATGTTATCCATAATTTGTTATGATCCACACAGTCGAGTGCCTTTGCATAGTCAATAAAACACAAGTAAACATCTTTCTGGTACTCTCTGCTTTCAGCCAAGAGCCATCTGACATCAGCAATGATATCATTTGTTCCACATCCTCTTCTGAATCCAGCTTGAATTTCTGGCAGTTCCCTGTTGATGTATTGCTGCAACTGCTTTTGAATGATCTTCAGCAAAATTTTACTTGCATGTGATATTAATGATATTGTTTGATAATTTCCACATTCTGTTGGACCACCTTTTTTTGGAATGGACACAAATATGGATCTCTTCCAGTAGGTTAGCCAGGTAGCTGTCTTCCAAATTTCTTGGCATAGATGAGTGAGCACCTCTGCCACTGCATCCCTTTGTTGAAACATCTCAATTGGTGCTCCATCAATTCCTGGAGCCTTGTTTTTTCGCCAATGCCTCCAGTACAGCTTGAACTTCTTCCTTCAGTACCATTGGTTCTTGATCATATGCTACCTCCTGAAATGGTTGAATGTCAACCAATTCTTTTTGGTGCAGAGACTCTGTATATTCCTTCCTTTTTTTTTTTTTTTTTTTTTTCATGCTCCCTGCATCATTCAATATTTTGCCCATAGAGCATAGAGTCTGTCATTATTGCAACTCAAGGCTTGAATTTTTTCTTCAGTTCTTTCAGTTTGAGAAATGCTGAGCGTGTTCTTCCCTTTGGGTTTCTAACTCTGGGTCTTTGCACATGTCACTATAATACTTCACTGTGTCTTCTCGGGCCTCCCTTTGAAATCTTCTGTTCAGCTCTGTTCAGTGGTGTTTACCCACTTTAAAGATTCGGTTGAGAAGTACTTTTGTTTTCTTTTTCAAAATTAAGCAGGATAAGTAAACAACTAACAACAGTACCTTAAGAACTTTTATAAACAGCAAAGCTATGTTTTCACAGCTATAAGCAAAAGATATTTGCATTTCCCTGAGAGTGTAGTTTGCTTTGAGTTCAAGGGCTGTGTGTGTGTGTGTGTGTGTGTATGTGTGTATGTGTGTGTGTGTTTCCTGAAGCCATTGGAGACAAAAATGTGATGAAAGCTAATATGAGAACATTCATCTGTTGGTGTTTTGGTGTGCTTAGCTCCCTGTCCATTGCAGACCAACCTTGGAAACTGGGGTCCCCCAACCTCACCCACAGTTTCCACCCCATCAAAGACCCTGGGCCTCATTCTCTCTGGTCCAGTAGGACAGGAGCTCTAGCAGGCAGCTCAGAGGCCCCACTGCAAATTGGCCTCACTGCTGTCCTGCTCTAACTTCCGCCTCAGTTCTAAGTGACCTCCCCACCTCGTCTCCTGCCTAGAATCCCTCTTCCTCATTCTCCCCTTACCCTTCCTGGGACTGGGGCCGTGCTCACAAACTCCAGGGCTCCAATATCATTTTCTAGACCTGTGCCCTTAGGACCTGACATATCAGCCCACTTCCCACCCCATGCTCTTGCTCCCAGCCAGAGGAGCTCTGGCCACTCCCAGGACCTGCCTCAGTATCCGGTCTGCGGTGCTAGGACGGCTCGCCACGTCCCAGGACCGTTCCCACCCTGGCTCGTCTCCCGCTGATGGCGTGGATCATGCAAACTGGTTTTTATCTTGGAATGGAAATTAGATTTTAAGAACTCCCATTCCTGGCTAGTGCCTAAAAGTGTAAATTCTGATGACTGTCCTTATCAAGTTCCCTAGAATGATGGCTTCTTGTTGTTTTGTTGATTTGTGACTTACGGCGCCCCCATGCATTACTGATAGAACTGCTCTGTAGGGTTTTCTTGGCTGCAATATTTATGGAAGCAGATTGTCAGGGCTGTTTCTTTCGAGGTGCCATTGGGTGGGTTCAAACCGCCAACCTTTTGGTTACCAGCCGAGTGCAAACCATTTGCGCCACCCAGGGACCTTACGTTTTCCTAAAATGACTCGAACATTTTCTTTCCCTAAAAGCTACAGAACTCTAGATCACCTTAATAAGTTTATCTGTCCCCTATCCCATGCCATTACTGAGAATCTCTATTTCTTGGGTGCCAGGTACCTGAAATTTGACCACAATTCACCGCATATTTGGTGATACAAGAATCATATCGAGTCTTTCCCTTTTATGCACTTAGGCATTCTGAACCAACCTGAAACGCGCATTCTGCAGTAGAATCAGATTTATAGCACAGAGATCTTAGATCCTTACTTTTGCAGCATATGGCTGACCCACTGATGGGTTCAAAGTTCACGGATTGTTCTTCTCAAAGGACCACTGTTGGCTCCATGACAAGGAGGCCTCTCTGTTTGAGGGGAGGCTCTCTGTGCATGCTAAATCTTCTTTGGAATAAAACTGATTTCTCCTATAGCTCATAAGTGGTTTCTGAAGGTGATCTCAAAAAAAGAGGCAAAAAAGCAGTCACGTTGTTGACCTAAGTGCATAGCATCCCAAGGGGACACTCTAAAGACTTGGATACAGCCTAGTAACTTCACATACATCTCATTTTTAACAAATTGGAGAAAAGAAAAATTAGAACATTCATTAGTGGCCTATTTACCTGTTGATGGAGTCTCTCTGGGGATTTGTCCTAATCATTGGTGTCCCCAAGGCTTGGCAAACTGTAAAGAACACTATGAATGTTTGCTGCATTGCATGAGATTAACTGTTTCAGTTGAGAGCTTTGATAAGGTTATTAACGAATAACCCACGAGTGAGTGTCCATGAGTAAGTAAGTGTGTTCCACATGCCCACAAATGTGTTTGCATTTTCCATCTCGCTTTTAAAGCAGAGAGCTGAACGGTCACCCCTGACCCAAGGTCACAGGACCTCTCACACTCTAACATGCATTTATATTTATCCTCAGTAATCTGTGTATAAACAGAAATCTCACTTGTAATTTTCCAAGTTTTTTCAATTGACTTTGAATACTAGCTTCTTCTAACGGTAGCATTTTTTGTGAAAATTAAATTCACTGTCCACTCTAATACCTCTGACTTCCCGAACTGCTGGGAAGCCAAGCACAACATGTCACATCTGACATGAAATAAAACTCTGTAAAGAGTTGGAATGGTAAGATGAAAATAAAGCACATTGGGTAATGCAGTTACTATGTTGCTCTCGTTGTTGCTCTTTAAATACAGTGGGTGGAACAGGATCATGCAGTTACTACGTTGCTATCATTGTTGCTTTTTAAATACAGCATGTGAAACAGGATCTCCTAACCTGTTTCAACAAGTTGGGGATTAGAATGAATTTCCAGTGAGCTCATTTGAAAGCTCTGTGTCTTACACTGAAGGACAGACTCTGTTCTTTCACTCAAAATGGAGCGCAGCTGATCCAAACAGCAAGGAGAAGGGCCTAGAAGGTTCCTGTAAGTGGGGGTAGTGGTCTCAGGGACATGGGCCCAAATCACTGTCTAAAATGTAGAAAGTGAGGCGTCAAGAAGACCTGTCACTCCTGCAGCGTCCAGCAGTGCTGAGATGTTTCCTTTTTTTAAACAGTAGCTTGAGTCTCTGGAAATCTCTTTTCTGCATTGTGATACAAGTTTTGGACAGTCAGAGACCCGGCCATCAGACTGTGCAGAAGGTACAATTCTGTCCAGCAATGGCAGGTCTCATCTAAAACGGGGCATCCTGTGATCATACAAGACAGAGACTTGCATGAGAGGGAACAGAACAGAGTCCTTTATGTCTTTCAAAGCAAACAGGTCTTCGCAAACCCACAAAATGGAAGAACCCGAGACTCTTGACATGGAGCCCAAGGCTCCAACACCAAGAATTCCAGGTGGTTTGAGTACAGGGGGAGGAGAAAGAGAAGAAAAGGAAAAGGAAACCTTTATTCCCTGCCTTGCTGAGTGAATCCTGTAGCAGATTGGCTAAAACAAAAAGTGAGTCAGATTTTTTTCTGCTCTGCGATGGGCACTGTTGTGGACAGGACATTGACTCTGAAATGAAAATCCTGGGTTTTAGGCTCCTGGTGTAGCTCCCTGACGTCTGAATGACCCAGGATAAGTCATGTCACCTTTCTGAAATTCAGTTTCTTCATCTGGGAAACAAGAGTATTAATACCCAGTCAACAGGTGATTAAGCTGAGTAAACCAACTGGTATACCAAGGTGCCCGGCATAGAATTTGATGCTGGGTAGGTGTGCCCTGAATGTTCAATATTAATCTTCCTTCCTCCTTCTCTTCTGAGGTAAGCCAGGCAAACATTCCTGGCTAGTCTCAAGTGTCTCTGATGCTGTCACTTCCAAGGTGCCCCTATGATCAGTAGGGGTGAGCCCCTGATGAGCCCCCAAAACTCAAGCCAAACCCACTGTCTGAAGTGGGGCTAGGGTGGGTGAGCAGTGAGGGAGGGAGGCCCAGGGGCTGCCCCTACACTGTCCCACTGTCCAGGTTCCTGGCATTGGTCCCACGCTGACCCCCACCCTAAGGCTGTCAGTCAGACAGACACGGCCCCAGGCACGATCCTGCGGATGTGGGTGTAGGACTTCCTGATGGTGACACTGCCATGGTGGGACACTCCCCGGGGCAGGACACACTCTTCCGTCAGCTTCTGGGCCTCAGGGTCCCAGCACAGCACGGTGGCAATGACCTCGTTCTTCTCGTCACGCCCCCCGGTGATGTAGAGCCGGTTGTTGCAGGGGGCGATGCCACAGCTGGCCCGCTCATGGCTGAGCTGGGTCACCAGGCACCAGCTGTCGTCCAGGGGGCTGTAGGCGTACAGTGCTCGCATGGCCCCACCTGAAGAGGAACGAGAGAGATGGTGGGCAGCCCACTCTTCCTCTGGCTAAGTCAAGCCTACCATCTCTCAAAGAGAAACAGCTTGGAGGGCTCCCCAGACAGCCAGGGCGGCTCGGTAGGGCTGGAAGTTTCTACTGCTCAGACACTTCACACACCCTTTAATTCCTGCAGCCAGGTGCTCGTCGGATTCTAAAGGACACCTGGCTTAACGTGGCTGCCAAATGCCCCAAAGACTGCCGCCTGCGGAAATACACCTGGTGGGGCAGATGGACTCGGTTCACAACCCCCGCTCTGCCGCTGTCTTATCTTTGTGGAGGTTGTAAGACTTCAGAAGGACCACTTGAAAAAAGCACTTGGCAGAGGGCCTGGCACATAGAAGCCATCCAGGGCACTGGCTAGAGAGGGTGGCATCTCTTTGTACACTGAGCATGACCTGAGGGCTAGCCTAAGTTACCCATCGTTGACATTAGACCTTCAAAGCAGAGTCGAGGCTGACCATAAGCTAACTCACACGAAAACTAAGGCAAGGCAGAGAAATGTTTTTTCCTTCATTTGTTCAATGTTTCGCCTCCGGGAAGCACTCTCTGATCAGCTCACACTGGCTGGAGTTTTTATTTTCTGGCGTCTCCTTAATCAGCAGTTCTCCCTCCTGGCTGCTCGTTAAAACCACCTGGAGCTTTGTAAACACGAGCTCACACCTTTGCCCAACGTCGTCTTGTGAAAAGCTGTCTAAACCAGAAACCTCACCAGCTGCCTTTGAGTCAGTTCTGTCTCACGGAGACCCTGTGTATTTCAGAGCAGAACTACACTCCATAGGGTTCTCATGGCTGGGATCTTTCGGAAGCAGATTGCCAGACCTTTCTTCCGAGGCACCTCTGGGTGCGTTTGAACTGTCAACCGTTTCATTTGCACCACCCCAAACCCAAACCCCGTGCCGTCAAGTTGATGCCAACTCACGGCGACCCTACAGGACAGGGTAGAACTGCCCTATAGGGTTTCCAAGGCTGTAAATCTTTACGGAAGCAGACTGCCAGTCTTTCTCCTGCGGAGCAGCTGGTGGGTTCAAACTGCTGCCCTTCTCGGTTGTCAGCTGAGCGCTTTAACCACTGCACCACCAGGGCTCCTTGCACCTCCCAGAGACTCCAAAAAGTTCCCCAGGTGACCCTACTGATTTGTCAGAACCGAGAACCACCATCCTTAGCAATTACAGGCCAGCTGTGGTCTGCCCTGGCCAGCCTTTCCTCTGGGCGAAATGTAGCTTTTCAGAGCCACTGCAGGAAATAAAAACCAAAAAACCCAAACCCATTGCCACTGAGTCGACTCCGACTCATAAAGACCCTGTAGGACAGAGGAGAACTGCCCCATAGGGTTTCCAAGGAGCAGCTGGTGGATCCGAACTGCCGACCTTTTGGTGAGCAGCTGGGCTCTTAACCACCAGAGCTCCCAAAATTTCCACCAACTGCGTGAATACAACGATATGAAAGTAAAATAGACTTTCCTAAGACATTAAAGCTACTACAACAAAGAAACACAAAATAAGAGATAATAGCTACCGATTACTGGGTGCTCGAGTCCCTGCGTGGTGCAAACAGTTAACTTGCTCAGCGGCTGGCCTAAAGATTGCAGGTTCAAGTCTGCCCAAGGGTGTCTTGGAAGAAAGGCCTGGCCATCTACTTTGAAAAAATCAGCCATTGAAAACCCTGTGGGCCGTCATGAGTCGGAATCAACTCAGTGGCCACTGGTGTTTATTGTACTCGGCACATTTCAACTTCTGTGCGCTTTGCGAATGCTTACAACACGACTTTGTTCCTGCAGCAATGTCTGGCTTCTCCATCTTCCGTTTAAACCCCACCGACATCACCCAGGAAACTGTGAGCTCCCAGGAGGCGGTGTCTGCGTGGGATTGAGGTGGGTGACAGAGAAGCGGTTCACTCACTTACCAACAACGTAGATGCGATCCCGGAAACTCACTGCGTTGATGCACTTGGCCTCCACTGGCATGGACGACTTTAAATTCCACTTATTGGTTGAAGGGTCGTAACACTGAGTCTTATCTGTGGCCAGCTTCCCATTGGGTCCTCCTCCAATCACATAGAGCTTCTTCTTATGGCTGGTGGCTGCGAAGGAACTGACGTGGACAAGAAGGGGTGCAGCCTGCAGAGGCACGGGGCACGAGAAGAAGCTGTCAGTCCTGCTGCCCAGATGGCCGCGGTAGCTCAGAGGACCTAGACCAGAAGCTGAGGGCGTAACACTGGTCGTCCTTTGCCTAAAGTCACGAGGCCTGTGGATTTGACTCTCCTTGAGCCACCAAGAAGATCAAGTCACGCATTCCCCACCTCCCTCCAGGATCCAGGCAGGCTGAGGCAGACCATGTTGGGGTGCTTCCAGCTTGTTTCCCCCAGGGTCCAGCTCTCAGGGATGGAGGGTCTGGCAGGAACATGCGTTTGTACAGATGAGGCCAGCCAATGTTGGAATAAATGCTTTTGCAAACATTCATACTCATTTGTTTGTTCATTCATTCTAAAAATGTTTACTGAGTGCCTACTGAGTGCCAGGTGATGCCCTTGGTACTCATCCGGCAAAGAAAGTTGGTATAAGGCAAGCCGACTCTCCCATTTTGGAGCAACGTTGCAGACTTTGGGGTTGAGTCGGGCTGGACTTCTACCCTGTGAACCTCTAGGTAGGACATGTGCCCACACAGAGCCTCGCCACCCGGAAGGAAGTTATCCCCGTGACCCCAGCAGCAGTGCTGAAGCGATGGTGCCTTCAAGGAGGGGCTCCCATCCCAGCCCATTGCCATCGAGTCGATTCTAACAGCAACCCTGTAGGACACAGTAGAACTGCTCCATCAGGTTTCCAAGGAGTGGCTGGGGGATTCGAACTGCCCATGTTTTGATTAGCAGCCGAGCTCTTAACCACTGCTCCACCAGGGCTCCACAAGGAGAGGAACCACCAGAAATGTTCTCAGTGGGAGCAGAGAGATCAGAAGGCCAGCTGCTGCTATAAGGATATGCCTCTTTTTAAAGCTTTGAGCCAGAAATACAAAGAAAGTTACTCATGGAAATAGCCTCTACCTCTGACCAGCAGTTGTGGAACGGGTCGTAGGTCTCCACGTTGTTGAGCCGCTGTAGGCCGTCGAAACCACCAATCACGTAGACCTTGCCACCCAACACCGCCATCTTGTGCCGCCAGCGGCCTATGTTTAAATACTCAATTTGAATCCACTTGTTGATCGAAGAATTGTATTTCCAAACATCGTGCTGTGTTTCTTTGCCACCTGTACAAGAGATACAAAGTGCCTAAGTAACACTAGATTTGTCACAAGTCTGTAAGTGCTGAGTCCCTCAGCTAGCCCCACCTGTTGTTAGCTGCTGTAGACTTGACCCCAATTCCTGGCAACCCAGGAATAAAACACTGCCCAGTCATGTGCCATCCCCGTGATCCATTGTGTGGGCCATTGTGATCCACAGGGTTTTCATTGGCTGATTTTCAGAAGTAGATCACCAGGCCTTTCTCCCTAGTCCATTTTAGTCTGGAAGCACTGCTGAAATATGTTCAGTATCATAGCAACACACAAGCCTCCACTGATGGATGGTGGCTGTGTGTGAGGTGCATTGGCTGAGAATAGAACCTGGGTCCCCCGCGTGGAAGGCAAAGATTCGCCACTGAGCCACCAATGCCTCACAGCCCCACCGAAGCCAACCTTGGTGAACGAGGAGATAGCGGTGTAAGGGAGAGGGAAATTATGTGCCAGAGTGTGGATAAGGGTGACTTATGTGTTATGAGAGGTGGATAAGGGTGAGCTTCAACCAGAGAAGACTTCAGGGAGGTGGGACCCAGGCCAGTCTGGGTAGGTGGGGCCTGCAGGAGCCTGGACTCAAGTGTCTGCCCCAAGGAGGAACAGGAAGTAAGGCGGGGTGGTGAGGCTGGACCCTTGAGGGCCAGGTAGTAAGACCTGGATCAGCAGGCAAATTAGAAGACAGGGTTAAGCTCTATGTTTGTTTAATTATTTAAACAAAAATAGAAAATATGAGCCTGGAAAAATGACCAAGCAATCCGAAAATTCATCTCTGGTCTATATAAAAATATGAGGGGGGCTTGTCCTATTTTTAAACAATTTTTTATCATAAAAGTGTGAGATGCTGATAGTAGGTAATCTGAGAGTGAGCTGGTGAATATTTTCCTCCAGACAGCTCTCTTCACCAACAAAAAATGCATAATTCAGCAGGAAGTGGGAGAGACCAAGGCAAAGGAGAGCTGACTGTTTTGGTGACTTTGAGCAAATATTTCACCATCTTTCGCTTCCCTTTTTCCCATCAGCACAGAGTACCACCAACTACTGAAAACAAAAGATGTGCTTTGCAGACTCACGGACGTGCACTAGTGCTGCTCTATGGGCAAGGTTTTCTCGAGGGTGGGAAACAGAAGTGGGATTTCTAGGTCAACAGGCGTATGCATCTTGACTTTTTATAGGTGGTGCCCAAGAGGACCCCAAAGGTGTTCAGATTTCCCTTTCACCATACTCAGCCCAGAGCAGGTATGAAGCGTTGGTATGTTTTGTTTCTTTCCCTCGGTCTGTTTTGTCTTGTATAGTCTGATGGAGAAAAATGACGTCCCTGCTTGCGATTTTTTTTTGGGGGGGGGGGGGGGTGGTTTGAGCTGCTTCCTCTTCTGTAAATTTATATTCATTTATTTTGACCATTTTTCTTTTGAGTTGTGTACACTTTTTTAATTTAAAAATTTCTCTTGTTGTGGTAAAATACATATAACATAAAATTTGCCGTGTTAACCATTTTACGGTTGTGTATCTTTTAGAGCTTGCTTTATTTAACAAAAGTCTGAGTGGTACAGATGATCAACGTGCTCAGCTGCTAATCGATAGGACTGAGGTTCCAGTGCATCAGAGGTACCTCAGAAGAAAGGCCTGGCAATCTGCTTCTGAAAAACCAGCCACTGAAAACCCTATGGAGAGTTTTATTCTAGCACACATGGGGTCGCCGTGAGACCGGTTGATCTGAAGGTAACCGCTACCGGCATTTATTAAAGACACCGTAGTATTCGCCCCACTGAAAATAGTGTCAAAAATTATTTTAAAATTTTAATACAACCTATATTTTAAAAAAAACTCTGTGATTTCACTTTGGGATGTAAAAGACCTAGTTAACTGGGAAGGCATATTATGTGCGTAAGTGAGTAGACATATTATTGCAAAGATGTCAACCCTCCCTCAGCTAAATCTATATATTCAGTACATTATCATAAAAATTCCAGCAGGACTGTTTAGGGAACTTGACAAGATGATTCTGAATTTCATTCGGAAGCATAAATTTGCAAGAAATGCTAAGAAACTTTTAAAAAGGAAGAATGAAGAAAATGGGCTTATCCTATCAAATATCAATATATCCTAAAAAGCTATGAAAATAGAAACTGTGGTGCTAGCTGGACTAGGCAAACTGATCAATTAAAAACAATTAAGACTATAGAAACAGACCAAAATATATAGAGATTATTAAGTAAATGGTTTTAGAGCAATTGGCTATTCATTTGGAGAAAAATTTAAGTTAGGTTCCTATTTCACATCACACTTAAAAATAAAATTCAAATATAAATGCTATAAAAGTAACTAGAAAAAACTACAGACTGTGTTAATAATTTTGGGGTAGGGAAGGTCTTTCTAAGCATGGCATGAAATCCAGAATCATATAGGAAAGAGAATGATTATACAAAATAGAAATCAAAGTCAAAAGACAACCACAGTATTTGCACAAATAGCAAACGATATATAATAAGAGTTCTAAAGATTTAATAAAAGACAAACAACAATATCAAATTAGTAGACACATATACACAGATAATTTTTTTAAACAAATATAATCAGCTAATAAATATGTGAAAATATGTTCAACCTCGTTAGTGGTCCAGGAAGTAAGTATAAATTTAAATATTCTAGTCTGTTACAAAATGTAAATGACTGACAATGTCATTGAATTGTACATACAGAAACTGTTGAATGGCTGTTATGTTTTGCCATGTATATTCTCAACAACAACAACAAAATAAAATTTTAAAAAATGTAAATGACTGATAATAAAATATGTCAGCAAGGATGTTGGAAAATGGGTACTGTCATTCATCATGGTTGCAAGATAAATTGGTACAACATTTTTAGAGGAAAATTTAGCAATATACACCAAAATTCTAAATGCATGTGTCTTAGGACCTGGCAATGCCACTTCCAGGAATCTATCCAGCTACTAACACAAGTACATAAAGGTAGGTGTACCTGAATGCCTATTGCAGCGCTTTATTCAGTAAGAAAAAGCTGTAAACAACTGAAGGAACGGAATTTTAAAAAAAAAAAAAAAGAATGGTTTATCCATTCAGTAGACTGCCCTGGAGCTGATAAAAAGAATAACAATAATCATAATGGTAACTAACGTCACTGAGCTCTTACTATACGCGTGGCATTGTGCTAAGGGCTTTATATGTTTTGTAACACTTAATACATATGATAGATCCATTTACACCAACATGGAATGATGTCCAGAATATATTGATAATTAACGTACACGTTTTGCTTGATTGAATTATTTACCACAAGCATATTTTCACTTACTGCTTGCATCATTTTAAAAAGAAAACAAATTTAAGAGGGGGAAGGATAAACTGTAGAACAACACGTATAGTCTATGTGGTAAAGACTATGATTCCCCAACCTGTTTCTCCCCGCAGACACCCAGCCTAACTACATTTCCCTGCCCACCTGCATGGAGGTGGGGGGATATGGCTATTCCTTGCCAATGGAAGGTAAGAAGAAGTGATACTTCACTTCCGGGCTGAGGGTGTTAACAGCAGATGTGCCTTCTTACCTCGCCCACTCTCTCTTCCCCAAACACATCAACCTTGAAGGCCATGTGTGGAAAATGGCAACATCACAAGATGGAAGGAGCCTGGGTCCCTGAATGACTGAGTGAAGCAGATCTACCCACCCGCCCCCTACATACTACTGTGCTGTATGAAGCCACTGAGATTTACGGTTTGTTACAGCAGCTAGCATTCCTTCCTACGATAATATAAAACTGTTTTTATAAAAAAATAAATCACGTGGAATTGCAATGGCACAGAGAAACTGTTCTATTTTACTTTACACTCTCTGTGTTGTTTGAATCTTCCACAACAATTTAAAAAATATTTCTACAAGATAATAGGAAGCTATAACCTAATCAATTGTGTTAACACAGCCAAAGAAGAACTGAACTGCCCTTGGTTTGGAGGAAGCCAACTCTGGCAAGCAGCTCTTCCCACAACAAGTTCAGGTCAGAGACAGCCCCCAGGAGAGGAAGGGGTGCTCGTCTCTCCCATAAAGGCCCACAAAGAGCCAGGTGGCTCTTGATGTAATGGGGAGCATAGGACTTGGAGAACCTGGAACGGAATCCTGCCTGACACACACCAGGGTGTGATCTTAGGTAAATTCCGTAACTTCTCTGAGCCTTGTTTTTCTTCTTCTGTAACTAGGAGATTAAAATCACCCACTTTATAGCGTTGAGGAGCCCTGGTGGCGCAGTGGTTAAGAGCTCAGCTGCTAACCAGAAGGTCGACAGTTGGAATCCACCAGCTGCTCCTTGGGAACCCTATGGCAAGGAGTTTGGTTTTTGGTTATAGAGTTGATGTGAGGAGCAAATGATTACATGGTATTAAAGTGCAAATCCATTTACTAAGCAGTAAGGATGGTAGCACTTACAGCAGTCAATAAACATTTACTGAGCGTCTACTGCGCAGCTAGGTGCTGGACATGAAGGGCTGACTTTCATGGAACTTAGGGTCAGATGGGAAAGGCAGGCATAAAGTAGTTAGATGATCGAGCAAACAAATCTGAAGTGTACAATGAGAAAGTGCTGTGTGCTTTGGAGAGTATTGAAGTAAGACCTAATAAGCTTGGAGGTGGGGCCGCATTTGGGGGAAGATGGGAAGCTCCATTCCTTGCTGTATTCCAGCGCCCAGCTTAGGGCCCGATGGGATGGACTCGCGTCTCATTTTCCTTCTTCCTCTTCCGTTAAGGATGGGACCTGTCTGCCTGCTCCCTCCGATCCTAATACAATGCTGCTCCCAGTTCACCGTTTATTAAACCATAATGTGCGCTCCATCTGCTGGACACTGCCAAGATAAGACCACCGAGCCCCTTGTTTCTATCCCCTGACCCAGTCAGAGCTAGATCGTTGCCAAATCACAGTGCTTCTTTTAGGACAATTGCCTCACTCAGGAAAATGCATCGTGCCACCAGAGGCACCCTCGGTGTCTCGCGGTCCTGCTTACCTGATATGTACACCTCATTTTTTAATGTCACGCATGCAAACTCCACCCACTTCTTATTCTCACTGTCCAGCTCGTGCTCGGTCAGCGGGAGCTTGGCTACCTCCAGGCGGCTGCGCCTCAGGGGGTCCAGGCAGGTTACCTCTGCCACAAAGCGTTCATCCCGCGTGCAGCCGCCGATGATCATGAACACCTCAGACTGGAACTCATGCATCCTGGGCTTGGTGCGCTCGGAAATGATCTGGAAAAACCAATGGGAGCACATAGAGGCAGGATCGCTCAGTGGTTCAGCACTCAGGCTATGGAGCCAGAAAGCAGGGCCCAATTCCCAGCTCTGCCACTGCACGTGTGACTTGACCCCCTTGAGCCTCGGTTTTGTCATCTGTCTAATGGGGAGTTTAGTGGTAACTACCTCCCAGGTTTATTGTGAGGATTAAATGAGACAATATACGTAGAGTGCTTGGCACAGGGCCTGGCGCATAATAGGAACTCCATAAATGTTACCTTTTGTTGTTTTTGCTGGTATTTTAAGAAGTCCTGTTCTCTTTACCATCAAATGCATTTCCTGCCTGTTCCCTCCTGCCTGGTCTGAAGCTTTGAATCCTGGAACTTCATTTCTGGCTACCACCCACTCCCCCAAGAAGTTCTAGACGGTGGGCACATATGAGCATTTGGAGCCTTGAACAAATGAGTAAATCCACACCACAGGCACAGGAACCCCAACTGAAAGAGCGAGCTTTGGAAGTCAGATACACCAGGGCTTGGTCCTGGCTCCACCTCCCGTGGCCATGTGATCTTGGAGAAGCAAAGCAACTTCTGAAAAACGCCTATAGTCGTTTCTACGCCTGCAGGCCACTGGAACATTCATGAGGCAGAGAGATCAGCAGAGCACCCCGCACATTCACATAGGAGCCCAGGTGGCTCAGTGGTTAAGACCTCAGCTGTCAACCAAAGGCTGGCAGTTCCACCAGCCACTCCTTGGAAACACTACGGGGCGGTTCTACTCTGTCCTACAGGGTCACCACGAGTCAAAATCAACTCAGTGGCAGTGGATTGGTGGTGCAGTGGTTAAATGCTTGGCTGCTAACCAAAAAGTCAGTAGTCCAAATCCACCAACGGCTCTGCAGGAGAAAGATGTGGCAATCTGCGTCCACAAAGATTTCAGCCTTGGAAATGCTATGGGGCAGTTCTACTCTGTCCTATAGGGTCGCTATGAGTTGGAATCAACTGGACGGCAATGGGTTTAGTTTTTGGTTTGGTATATTGATACTGGAGTCCCTGGATGACGCAAACAGTTAAGCGCTCCGCTACTAACCAAAAGGTTGGCGGTTCTAACCTACTCAGAGCCCCCTTGGAAGAAACGCCTGGCAATCTGCTTCCAAAAGGTCACACCCATGAAAGCCCTATGGAGTGCAGTTCCACTCTGAAACACATGGAGTCACCATAAGTCAGAATCGACTCGACGGCAACTGGTTTGATTTTTGTGTATTGATATTATTAGGAAAAAGGAAGAGCACCTTCTTCCTGGTCACCCCCACCCTGGGCTTGGTGGGGAAAGTTCTGCAGGTGTGTGGATGGGAAACTGAGGCAGTGCCCATTTCCCAGGTGACCAAAGCAGTTTCCTTTTCCTACAAGGTTAAGCTGACTCACAAGGACTATGGAGGCTTTGATCTTGTCCACAGGTGGTGGTAGAACAGATTGCAGTAGCGGAGACACCTGTAGCATTCAACCAGTGGCTACAACTCATTAGACCAGCCAACACCCAGTCTCTACTTTTCCATAAGCGTCTTTTATTTGTTTGTTTTTCTGTGCTGAAAAGCTACATACATTACGTTTTTGCATCCTCAGTCCTCGAGACTGGACTGTGGCCGTAAGTCCATGGCAGGGCTCTCCGCTGTGGGTCAGCAGAAAGGAATGGGACATGTGTGGCAGGACCGAGCCTGGAAGTGGGCTGAGCCTAAGGACATTGACAGTGGAGAGGCCACTGATTAGAGGTCAGAGGGGTGCTCCAGAGACCCTGGAGCCCTATGAGAGCACTAGGCTGGGAGGGCAGAGTCTGAGCACTGAGTTGGCACCAAACACAAACTTGGCCACACCTCAATTTTCTCTCCAGCTGCTAGTCCTGGATACTGCCTACTATGGATTGAATTGTGTCCCCAAAAAATATGCGTTGTAAATCCTAACCTCTATGCCTGTGATTGGAGCCCTGGTGGGAGAGTGGTTAAGAGCTCGGCTGCTAACCAAAAAGTCAGTGGTTCGAATCCACCAGCTGCTCCTTGGAAACCCTATGGGGCAGTTCTAATCTGTGAGTCGGAATCAACTCAACGGCAACTGGTTGGTTGGCATGCCTGTAGTTATAATCCCACTGGGGAATGGGTTGCTTTTGTTGTGTTAATGAGGCGGGATTAATGTAGGGTGTGTCTTGAGTCTGTCTTTTACAAAATATAAAAAGAGCAGATTAAGCAAGCAAAGATGGGGGAAGACCGATGGCAAGCCACATGGAGATCTCCAAGGAACCGGGAAACAGAAGCTGAAGAGACAAGGACCTTCCCCCTAGAGCTGACAGAGAACCTTCCCCTAGAGCCACACCCTGAATTTGGACTTCTAGGCTTCCTAAACTGTGAGAAAATAAATTTCCATTTGCTAAAGCCACCCACTTGCAGTACTGCTGTTAGAACAGCACCAGACTACGAAGACATTGCCCATAAACCTTCACTCCCCAAGCTGAGGCACAACCTCCAGGATCAACGTAGACCTCTTTCATATGGGATTTAAGTGTTTTAGGACAATGCCTAAAGGACAGCACCTCACAAAATTGGTTCCCCTGTGATCCTTACCCAGTTTTGAGAACCAGGCTGCAGACTCCACCCTGAAGCACCCCATCTTGTTCACCATGCCTGACTCCTGGCCTGTGGAAGACTCTGCTCCTGCTGACTGAAATTTCTGGTTTACCATCATTTCTGTCCTCAGTTTCTCACACCACACCCTTCCCAGCCATTCTGAATTTTTGCAATGTCACTTTGTCCTTTACTCCAGGAGGCCATTCCTGACTTTCTACGTGTGTTCCCATAGTCCTGAATTTCCCTCTTCACAGCACTTTTCACGTTCGATTGTACTTTACTACAAGGTCCCTATAGCTGGAACAGCCTTTATTCTCCAGTGAGATTCCCCAGCACCAAGAATAGTGACTGGAACTCATGGACTTCCGTCAGTGTTGGCTGAATGAATGAATGAATGAATGAATGCGAAAGCTAGGTAATTCAGGTCCCTAATAGATTATTTGCAGTCTAAATAATGGTGGTAGTCAGCTCCAATACGGCCCCAGTGATCCCTGCCTCTAGGTATTTGCATGTTGGGTAGTTCCTCTCCCGCATTGTACCAGGGTTGGTCTCTGTGACTAATAGAACGTGGCAGAAGTAGTGGAGTCACTTCTGAACTTAGGTTATAAAAGGCACTGCAGCTTTCATCTTAGTCACTTCTCTCAGTCTCTTTCATAGGTCGTTTGCTCTGAGGGAAGCCATCTGCTATGGAGAGGCCCATGGTGTGAGAAACTGAGGCCTCTAGCCAATGGCCATCGCGGAGTTGGGGCCTGCCCATGATCCTTTGAGAGGACTTAGAAGTGGATCCTCCAGCCCCATTTGAGCCTTAAGATGACAGCTACCCTGTAACCTCAGAAGATATCTTGAGCCAGAACCACCCAGCTAAGCTGCTCCCAGATTCCTGACCCTCAGAACCTGTGTGAGATAATAAATGTGCGTTGTTTTAAACTGCTAAATCTTAGGGTAAATTGTTACCCATCAATAGATAACTAATACAATCATCTAGTTAACAATGGAATTGGCTGGGGTACTGAGACCTGCCTTATAACTTGGCACCACAGAACTGCCAAGTGGTGGCACTATTACTATTACTATTACTGAACTGTAAGTTCAGCTACATTTGGCAAAATATTAACCCCCAAGGCATAACAAATGCCTATCTAAAGTTAGAGGCATACAAGTTTGTTTGCGGACATATGAAAGTGTTTGCTAATGACTCGCACGCAATCATCAGGCTTAACCAGTTTATTTTCAGATTGATAAAAATAGAGCAGACAGTTGCATCTTACTGACTGCTCATCGTTCACAGAGCCTGCACTGGGGGAGCAAACAGAAGCAACCATATTGCTTCAATAAAGCTGTCCTCCCAACCCCACACACACATGTTGGAGCAGACCTTGGTATGCGTCAAGGTGATCCCTGGAAACTTAGGAGGAAGGGGCAACTTTCTTGTGTCCCGAAAGACCTCTTCCAATGAGGGCACCAACCACCACTCCTAAATCAAATGTAGGGTGATATTTCCTCTTAGGATTCTAAAATTTCCCACCATCATCACCATCACCATGAGCTTGGAGGAAGGACAAGTTGAAAAGACGAGGTGTAGATGGGTCAAGAAGGGTTAGAGTCTGGGAAAAGAAGGTTAAATGGAGAAGTGTGTTCACAGAGTAGCCTCCAGGCTCATGCTATTGTCATCGGGAAAAACCCAAGATAATTCGAGCAGTGAGCAGACAGGTAGTTTCAGGGAATCAACTGGCAATAAGACCCCAATTAGGAGATCACATTGGTTGGTTCATGGATAACTCACATATTCAGTAGCCCAGACTATAAAATGGGAATGATAAAGTGCCCTAAGCTGGTTTTGGAGCCCCGGTGGTGCAGTGGTTGAGAGTTCGCCTGCTAACCAAAAAGGTCAGCGGTTCAAATCCACCAGTTGCTCCTTGAAAATCTTATGGGGCAGTTCTACGCTGTCCTATAGGATCGCTATGAGTTGGAAACAACTCGAGGGTGACGGGTTTTGGAAGCTGGTTGTGGGCAAAAAGGCAGCAAAAATCTGGGGTACATTGAAAAGAGAGAGTTTATCTCCAGAGAAACAAAACTGCCTGTACGAGATAGAGCAACTATACAGGAACTGAATGGGAGTAACAACAGCCTTCATCATGGGCATTTGCCATGTACCATGTACTGTGCTGAGCACAGCTCGTCAATTATCTTCTTGAATTCTCAGAACAGTTCTATCAGTTGTTAGGTATTATTATCCTCACATTATAGAGCTAGACTGAGTCTCAGAGCGGCTGAGTAACTTGCCCAAGTTCACACTGTCAGTAAGTTGTGGAGTCAAAATTAAAGCCCGGATCCGCCTGACTTCAAGCCCAAGTTCCAGCCACTGGAGACTTTTCCAGATATAAGAAATTTCACGCCTTCTAAATCCAAAGTTTATAAACTCTTCCCCCTACCATAGCATTGCAAATACAAAGGGCAGTGCAGGTCCTTCATAGCAAGAATTCTGCAGAGGACACAGTAGAGACATTTTATATCAGGATAAAGTCTTTTCACCTGATTTCAGGGACTTGGGAAATAACAGGCAGAAACAAAAATAGCTAGGATGTAGGAAGTATAGTTGATCAAGACTCTGCACTTTAAAGGTTGAACTGAGAGCAGTTGCAGACAGAGACTGAGACTTGTCTGCAATTAGTATACAGGCTCTGACATCCAGTGCTGAGCTGTCTGCCAGGGGCCAACATAGCCAGCATGGGATAGAACTCATGCGGTTGCCCAGACTTCCTCCTTCATTCACTTAATGTCCTGTCTTCTCTGACAGACAATAAGCTTAGTAAGGCAGAGACGTGTTTGCAGTGTCTAGTCCCATATCTGACATGTTGTTGGTGTTCAGGATTTATTCATGGGACGTGACAGTATTGTTAGTTTTTGCTGGATGTCATTGAGTTGGTTCTGACCCACAGCAACCCCGTGTACAACAGAACAAAACACTGCCCCATCCTGCGCTATCCTCAAAATCATTGTTACGCTTAAGCCCATTGTTGCAGCCACTGTGTCAATCTATCTCGTTCAGGGTCTTCCTCTTTTTTGGTCAGATTTTGTGGGATGCTATTAAAGCAGTACATAGGGGGACATTTATAGCACTAGCACCGATATTACTAAATTAGAAAATTCTCAGATCAGTGACCTCAACTTCCATTTAAGAAACTATAAAAAGAAGAGCAAATTAAACCCAAGCGAGCAGAAGAAAGCAAATAATCAAGATCAGCATGGAAATAAGTGAAATGGAAAACAGAAGATAATACAGAAAATCCAATGAAACCAGAAGCTGGTTCTTTGAAAAGGTCAATAAAATTAATAAACCTCTAACCACACTGATCAGGAAAAAAAGGGAAGACACAAATTACCAATATTTAGAATGAAAGATGTGACATCACTACAGATTCTACAGATATGAAAGGATAAAGGAATACAATGAACAACTTTATGCCAATAAATTCAACAACTTATATGAAATGCAAACATTCCTTGGAAGACGCAAACTACTAAAACTCATTCAAGAAGAGATAGATCATCTGAATAACCTTATATCTATTAAAGGAGCACAATTTGTAGTTAAAAATAGTCTCACAATGAAAATGCCAGGCCCTGATTGCTTCACTGGTAAATATATACTTGCAGTTGATATTTTCAGAGTGAATAAATAAGCAGTAGATCTGCAGACAACACAGAATTGGAAAACGACACACAGAACAAGGAAGAGGCTCCAGAGGAGTCTCAGTCGGACAATTCCTGAGCACTTTTGGCTATTTGCTACCAATGGCCTAATGAAGAAGGCTTGGATGAATAATCCACAGAAGCAGCAGTCAAGAAATCAAATGATGTATCGCACTGGGCAAATCTGCTGCGAAAAACCTCTTTGGAGTTCTACAAAACAGAGATACCACTTTGATGACTAAGGTGTGCCTGACCCACGCCACGGTCTTTTCAATCACCTCATATGCATGCGAAAGCTGGGCAATGAAAAAGGAAGACAGGAGAAGCACTGATGCATTCAAACTGGGATGGAAGACAGGAGAAGCACTGATGCATTCAAACTGGGATGCTGATGAAGAATACTGAATATACTGGGAACTGCCAGAAGAGCAAACAAATCAGTCTTCGAAGAAATACAACCAGAATGCTGTTTAGAAGCAAGGACGGTGAGACTTCGGCTTGCTTACTCGGACACACCATCAGTCAAGACCAACTGCTGGAAAAGGACATCATGTTTGGTAAAGCAGAGGGTCACTGAAAACGAGGGACACCCTCAGGGAGATGGATTGCACAACAGCCACGACAATGGAGTCAAACATCCCGACGATGGTGAAGACAGCACAGGACGGAGCAACATTCTGTTGTGTTGTACATCAGGGGCCCATGAGTTGGGTCTGCCTGAACGGCAACTGACAACAACAATAATGTGGTTGTTCATGTGTACAGACTATTGACTCTGTCATTACTAACTGATGGTTTAGTACCTCTCCACTAAGCCCTTTCTTTTCTTTATAAAGTTCTGAATTAAAAAATTTCTTCAGAGATTGTTAATGAGAGACACTGAACAAGATAGATCCAAATGATCTGTATATTCCCCATCCTGGTGACCATTTATTCATTCAACAAACATTTACTGGGGACTGGTTCAGTTCCCTGCCAACACTTTGGGCTGACCTTTGAGGAGCCCTGGTGGAGCAGTGGTTAAAGCACTTGGCTGCTAACCGAAAGGTTGGCAGTTCAAACCCACCATCTGCTCCATGGAAGAAAGATGTGGCAGTCTGCTTCCTTAAAGATTTACAGCCTTGGAAATCCTAGAGGTCAGTTCTACCCTGTCCTACAGGGTCACTGTGAGTCAGAATTGACTCGACGGCAGTGGGTTTTGTCACACACACACACACACACACACACACACACACACACACACACATACATATACCAGGGCCTCTGCTAAGCTCTAGAGATAAAAAGTCCAATAAAACATGCTTCCTGCCATAACAAGCTCCTACTCTAGAGATATTTACAGATGAGGAATTCAATGATTACCACGTGGCATGGCTGGTGCTATGACAGTGTAGGGGGTCTCCAGAGAAGGTGAACTTGAACTGAATTTTAAGTATGAGTAGAAGTTAGTTAAATTAAGAAAAGGAAAAGGCATTTGGCCAGCACCACATTGGCCTGGAGGCTGAGAAAGCACATTCACTCTGGGGAACTACAAGCAGTGCATTAGGACTGTAGCAGAAGACAGCGGTTGGAGATAATGTAAGATTAGCAGGCAGGAGACAGTGAGAGGCCAGGCTCTGGGCGCTTAGCCAGGAAGTATGGGCTTTACCCAGAAAGCGACGTAGATCCAGGGAAGAGGGAAGCTCAGAAGTGAGATGATAGGGCTGGTGTTTCAGATCATCATCCAGCTGGTGAATGAATTAGAGGAGGGCCAGAGGCGGACAGAGAGACGAGTTCTGAAGAATATCCGGAAATTGGGGAAGAAAATAACGAGAGTCAGAACCAAGAGACTCTAGGCTTCCCCGGAGTGGTCAGACTAGGAGAGCAGCCCCCACTCCTGCCAGTGGGACGGTGACTGGACAGAGCATACCCCTACTTGTACGCATGTCGCCCCCTCTTACACACCCCCCTTACCCAACAGGAAAGGAGAAAGATGTGCCAGGCATGGTGCTGGGTGACTTCTGCGTATCACCTAAAATCTCATAACTGTCTGAAAGTGCAGTATCGTCCTCCTTTTACAGATCAGCAATCCAGGGCTTCCAGAACTACCCGACTCAAACTGCAAGTAGTGGATTTGTGAGCCAGCCTCACATATGCACCTGTGAGGCCCTGATTAACTACTTCACCAGTTAAACGCGGCACCTCTCATCTTCAGCTCACCTCATTCCCAGAAAGGTGGTACATCCTGGCTTCCTGCAGCAGCGGGAAGACCTCCGGGCACTGCCTGATGAGAGGGTCAGCTTCGACCGTCTCCACAAAGTACCACGGGTCCAGAAGCGGTAAGCGCACGTTCTCGAGGACATAAGGGAGCAAGCAGAGTCGTTCCGACTGTTTGTGCCGGACCCAGCTCATTACGGTCTCGAACACCTGGGCCTCTTCGGTCACATAAAGGTCATCACTCTTCAGGATGTGGTACAGAGTGTCCACAGGAAGCTCAAGGAACTCGTCGGAGTTCAGAATCTGCACAAAGTTTTGGATGATGTAACTCTGAACCTGCTTCTTTAGACTGCCCAAGGAGTGTGTGTCCGCCAGCCTCAGTATCCCGACACAGTTTTCCGGGTTCAAGGCGTCTGTGAGAAAGCTGGCACAAGCATCCACCATCCGTAGGAACTAACAGAACAAAAGGGGGACAAACAAGGCCAGAAAAGGATTAGTCCACAAGGATGCTTATTAGAGACTGGTGTCTAGTGGCAAAAACTTAGAAACAAGCTAATGTCCAACAAGAGGGGACTCTGTCTAAACAAATGATAACACGTCCACGTGGTAGACAGCTACATAGTCATTAAAAAACATGTCGTAGAAGAACATTAAACTATACGGAAAATGCTCATAATGCATGAAGTTTAAAAACTTGTTCGCTGCATCTAGTCAAACCTCTAGATATAATTAGCAATTTACAGGAAATACAGAGGAGAAAGGGACATGTTCAATGACACCATGCGGATACACTCAACAAAATTCAGACTATGGGACGTCTACATTACAACGGATTCCATTTCTTCAATAAATACATTAACGAGGGGGGGAAAAGAAGGAGAGGAGGGGAGGGAGACATTTCAGCCTATTGCAGAGTATGGACTTTATTTGGATTTCTGGTTTGAACAAACAAACTTAAAAAATTCACAAAATTTTTAGAATGGCTAATATTTGATGATACGAATAATATGAAGCAATTAATATTAAGTGCGATCATGGAATTGTGTCTGTGTTTAAAGAATCCTTACCTTTTAGAGTAATACTAAAATATTTGCAGATGAAATGAAAGAAAGCAGTTCACCAAATCATACGTACGTTATGATCCTATTCTTATAAAGAAAAAATATATAAAAATAGGCGTAGAAAAAGGACTGAAGGATATACATAAAAATACTAACAGTTGTTATCTCTCTGTGTGGCACCCTGGTGGCAAAGTGGCTAAGCATTCGGCTGCTAACCAAAAGGTCGGCAGTTTGAATCACCAGCTGCTCTTTGGAAACCCTATGAGGCAGTTCTGCTCTGTCCTGTAGGGTCGCCATGAGTCGGAATCAACTCGACGGCAACAAGTATCTCTCTGTGTATCAGGTAACTTACAGCAAATTATTCTCTAGTAACAAACAACCCCCAAATCTCAGGGGCTTACACAATAGATGTTTACTTCTCACTCACATTACTTGTCCTTCACAGGTCAGTTTATTCCAGGACCCAGGATGACAGAAAAGCCCTTAAGGGAGATACACTGGTCTCGTGACAGAAGGAGAAAAAGACGGCAGATCACACAAAAGCTCTTGAAGCTTCTGCTCAGAAGTGTCTCGTGCCATTTCCACTCACACTTAACTGGCCAGGCAATCACGTGGCAAATTTTGTCGTCAAGGGAACAATATTACTCCCACGGAAACGGGTCCCATAGAACGAGCAGGGAATAGGCTGCATAAATCATATGATGTACCACACTCTCTAACAAGAGTATGTGGAATTTTTTTTTATGTTTGTGTATTTATATACTTTCAAATCCTCTAAAATGAATAAATACTACTTTTTTAAAAAAAGGTTGCGGTAAATATATATGCGTGTGTATACATATATATGTGTATATATATATAAAACAAAAAATTGCCATGCCACATTTTTGACATGGACAATTCAGTAACGTTAATTGTTCTCATCATGCTGTGCAACCATCACCACAGTAAGTTCTCATTGTTGTAATTAAAAAACTAATTTGTAAAGTTTTTGGTCGGTTCTCCTGTTGTGCTTTCAAATTAGCACCATTTTCATAACGAAGAGTCCCTAGTGCACGCACAGCACTTTACAGCTTTCGAGCCACTGTCAAATCCACTATGTTAGTAAATGCCCGTTTTACAGATCAGCTGGAGCCCTGGTGGTACAGTGGTTAAGCATTCGGCTGCCAATCAAAAGGTCAGCAGTTCAAATCCACCAACTGCTCCTTGGAAACCCTATGGGGCAGTTCTACTCTGTCCTCTGGAGTTGCTATGAGTCGGAATTGACTCGACAGCAACTGGCTTGGTTTTTGGTTTTGGTTTTACAGTTGAGCTACTGTCCTCGTGTCTCCAAGGCATCCATTCGTTCGTTCTTAGTCATTGTTCTCTGAAGCTAAGCTCTGAACGATTCTAGCCTCCTAGCTCCCCTCCTTGTCCTCTGGGTCCTCTATAGGGTCAGGTTCTCAGTGTGCTTGGGTTGACTAATTAATGAAAGAGGGGCAGAGGGAGGCTGAGGGGAGAGGGCCTCGTGAGGGTATGGATGGGACAGACCCAGTAGGGAGGAGGCAGCATGCAGAGGAGAAGCTCTGGTGACCAGAGCTGGAGGTAGCAGGGCTGTGGGGCCTAAGATTGGGGTTGGGGGAAGGGCAGGGCTGGTCTTCAAGTGGACCAGGTTGACTTGGGCTCTGGCCTTCACTCCAGAACATACTAGGGGCACACTTCCCTGACTCTTTGGATCAGTCCCATCACAAAATGTTAACTTCCTATGTCACACCACACGTTCCAATGGTCAGTTTAGAAAACAGGTTCAATGCAATGTTGGAGAAAGCCTGAGTTCTGCCTTGGGCCGCCCTGTCTGCTGGCCCCAACCACCTGCAGATCTGCTCCTTGCATGAGCAGCTGTGGAAACGGTTGAGACTGAGAATTCTAACACCTGTGCAGTTCTTTCCAGATTTTCAGTTCAAAGAGTAAAAATATGCAACCGAGACCAAGCCTCACCGAGCCCTCGCACCCTGTCACCAGAGCCCTATGTGGGCCTGCCCACAGAGACATTCTCCAGGGTTGAGAGGAAGCTCACACTCAAAACACGCATGCCGTGTGTGAGGGGAAGAGCTTACGAAAGTAAAGAGATATCACAAAATATTTAGACTATCTCTGGGAAGCCACTTAAGAACCTGGTAACAGTGTTTGCCTCTGGGGAGGGGAACTACTGGTTGGGGCCAAGGTTGCTGTTGTGTTGTTAGGTGCTGTCAAGTCGTCTCTGACTCATAGCTTCCCTGTGTACAACAGAACCAAACACTGCCCGGTCCTGCGCCATCCTCACAATGGTTGCTGTGCTTGAGCCCATTGTTGCAGCCACTGTGTCAACCCATCTTGCTGAGCGCCTTCCTCTTTTTTGCTGACCCTCTACCAAGCATGATGTCCTTCGCCAGGGACTGGTCCCGCCTGGTAACATGTCCAAAGTATAGCCTCGCCATCGTTGCACCATCCAGGTGGAGAGGGAGAACTACTTTTCACTCTTTACTGTTTCGTATCTCCTGAATTGTGTATCACACGTAGGAATTACCCATTTAATGTGAGTAAAGTTTTTAATGCATAGGGAAAATACTAGAAGGTAACTCATCAAAATGTTAATAGTGGTTGTCTCAACTGTGGGTTTATAGAAAGTTACTAATTTGATATTTTAGACTTTGATGTATAGACCAGGCTTTCTATATTCAGCATGAAATTCCTTTTAAAATCAGAAAAAAATGAAAATATAAAATCCATCCTTTCTTTTGATTTTAGAGTACACAATGAGAAAATAAAGTGTAAACTATATATATGTAAATGAAGAACACCTACTATGTGTCTTATTAACTACCTCATTTAATTCTCACAACAATACTATTGAGTAGATATTTGTTATCATTCCTGCTTTATTGATGAGGAAGATAGATTCAGAGAGGTGAAATAGTTTCCTCAAAGGCTCATAGCTAATAAGTGATTGTTGTTGTTAGGTACCATCCGGTCGGTTCCAACTCATAGTGACCCATGTACAAGAGAACGAAACACTGTCCCATCCTGCGCCATCGTCGCAATCGTTGTTATGCTTGAGCCCGTTGTTGCAGCCACCCTGCCAATCCATCTTGTTGAGAGTCTTCCTCTTTTTTGCTGACCTTCTACTTTACCAAGCATGACGTCCTTCTCCAGGGACTGGTCTCTCCTGATAACCTGTCCAAAGCACGTGAGACGAAGTCTCGCCATTCTTGCTTCTAAGGAGCGTTCTGGCTGTACTTCTTCCAAGACAGACCTGTTCATTCTTCTGGCAGTCCATGGTATAGTCAATATTCTTCACCAACACCCTAATTCAAAGGCATCGACTTTTCTTCAGTCTTCCTTATTCATTGTCTAGCTGTCGCATGTATATGAGGTGAGTGAAAACACTATGGCTTGGGTCAGGTGCACCTTAGTCCTTAAAGTGAGGTCTTTGCTTTTTTAACACTTTAAAGAGGTCTTTTGCAGCAGATTTGCCCAATTCAATGTGTCATTTGATTTCTTGACTGCTGTTTCCATGGGTGTTGACTGTGGAACCAAGTAAAATAAAATCCTTGACAACTTCAACATTTTCTCCGTTTATCATGATGTTGCTTATTGGTCCAGTTGTGAGGATTTTTGTTTTCTTTATGTTGAGGTGTAACCCATACTGAAGGCTGTAGTCTTTGATCTTCATCAGTAAGTGTTTCAAGTCCTCTTCACTTTCACCAGGCAAGGCTGTGTCATCTGCACAATGCAGGTTGTTAAAACAGTCTTCCTCCAATCCTCATGTCACATTCTTCTTCGTATGGTCCAACTTCTCAGATTATTTGCTCAGCATACAGATCGAATAAGTATGGTGTAGAGCTGGGATTTAAATTTGTCTTATATGATTCAAAAAAAAAAAAAAAAGCATGTTTTTCTACTCTTCCAAGCTGCTCCAGGTCACATAGTGAATGCGTGGGAAAAGGCTTGGCAACTGCTGAACATCATTTGCACGCTTCGCAGGATAGCTCAGGTTATCTGGTCTTCCAGACACAGGAAGGATTGGCCAACAGATGCCAAATCTTTTCCCTGCGCTGTGACTTTAGATAAGCAAAGAAGGAAATCAGGGAGGTAAATCAAAGCACTGAAGCTCACATTTGTTAGAAACATGCCTCCCTCCACCTATCATCCACCTATTCACTGACCAAACGTGTACTGGGCATCTGCTATGAAGAGGGCCCTCAGCTAGTGCTGGGGGCACAGAGATAAACATAAAAAGAGACACAGTACCTGTGCTCATTGGAACTGATAGACTAGTGGGGGAGGCAGACATTAATAAAAGACACGCAAATAGTGTAAAATGACTACCATGATAAACGGATTATGTAACAAAGCTCAGTGATTCCGCTGTCCACATCTGATATACGACCAACTCCTTAGTGGTTAAGTGTTTGGCTGCTAACAAAAAGGTCAGCAGTTCAAATTCACCAGCTGCTTCTTGGAAACCCTGTGGGATGGTTCTATTCGGTCCTATAAGGTTGCTATGAGTCAGAATCGACTCGATGGCAATGGTTGCTTTTATTTTATTTTATTTTTTTGTTCTACTCAAGACTGTCTACAGTCTGGTTCTAACTCACCACGGGGTCCTCCCTGATGGAAACCTAGCCACAATCAAACCTGTCTCCGCACCTTCTCCAAACTCTCCCTCAGCTTCCCTATCGAGCCTTTCAATGCTCATGTCATTTCCTCAGCTGGGACAGCCTTTCTCCCTCATACTATCTCTTAATATCCTGCTCTCCTCAGTCATGCAAATTTGACTCCAGAGCCCACTTTTTAAGGAAGGACCCAGGATAGCTCATCTCATTTTTAATTGAGAAGTCCCCTTTTAGTTTATCTCAGGAAAGAGGAAGACATGACTACCACTGTCGTCAACTTTGTCTACACAGGAGTGTTATCTTTATTCACAATTATTAAGTCTTGAATCAGTGGGTGGGCTCCAGAGAGTCTATGAACCCCTACAATTAAATGCAAATGTTTGTTTGTCAGTGTGGCATTTTTGTGAGAATAGAGTTTGCAGAGGACACTGTGAGTTGATACCCAGGAATCCATCCACCTGAGGACAGTGCCAAACAAGAGGAAGAGCCAAGTTGAGATAACCAGAGAGAAACAGAGTCAGATTCCTGAGCAGACTGTGCTTGAAGCCTTCCCTGACTCAGAACATGTTTAATTCTAAGTCAATAATTGCTTAAGAAGAAAGGGGGGAAATGGAAGGGAAGGTAAAGGAAAGGAAAAGAAGTGGATAAATCCTACCTATCCATGAGGTTCTTTCTCAAAAGCCGTTTCTACCCTGATGACTTCTCCAATTCTCCAATATGGTATCAGTTTCTCTCTGCTCTGTGCTCCACTTGGCAACTCAGTTGCCCTTTGTGTGGAGTACCAATTACATTTCTGCCTTGTGCTACAGTTGCTTGAGATAAGCATCTCAAGCACAGGTTCTAGGACATAATTGTGTTTTTATTTCCAGCAGCATCTAGCACAAAGTCTGGCAAAATAAAGGAAAGAAAAGGAGAGACAGAAGGAGGAAATATTTATTGGACACCTAGCAAGTACGAAGATCTGTGCTAGACCCTTTCCTACCTACTTCATTTAACAAATACAAGAGGCGAGTATTTGTATTACCATTTCAAAAAGGAGGAAACTGAGTATGTTGCCCAAGGTTGCACAGCTAGTAGGTGGTAGAGAAGATACTCAAGATCACTGCTAACTAATTTCTCACTCAACAACACATTGCCTTTGTAACTTGTTACATTGTTGAACTAACAAAACACCAGTAGAGTCTAACAAGGCTTTATGAGGACAAGGCTGGGTGAGAGAGTCTCAAGATTGCCTACGTTTCCCCTAAAATACACTTCAATAAACATTTTTTAGTGTGAAGGGTGTAGGACGTCATCACATGATAAAGGTAAAGGAAAGGAAAAGAAATGACTGGGAATCTGCTGATGTGCAGAACAATCATAGGAACAAGAAATTATCTTTTTAATTTTTTTTTTTTTTTTTTGCATTTTCATATCCAAGATTATTTAAGACTTTAAGGTAACTTTTCTGTCTCAACCTGCCCCAGTGGCACATGAACTTG